TCTTCATCACCGTTTGGTTCTGGTTCGCAAGCACTCGTCTTTTCATTCCTCTGGTATAACTGTTACTGGGTTAGACTGTCCAGGCTGTCACTCTGGGGACCTGCTCCCTGGGAAGTACCCTCTGTCTTTTCACACATTCCTTCTCCATTCGGTGTCGCCAACCCGAAAACAAAAGTGAAGCTGAGCATTCAGCAGCACAAGCTTTATGCAGTGGCCAGAGAATGGGGAAGCGGAGTCAAACTCATAGATCAGCTCTTCGTTTTAGAGAAGTCTGGGGGAGGTTACTGTGGAGGGTGGAGGCATATGCATTAGTTTCCAAGGAATGGGCTAGTCTCTTCCCAGAACTGGGGCACCATCCCTTTTCTTCTTTTACATGGCCCCAGTGGTGTGTCAGCTAGCATGCTAATGTAGTATAATCAGGATGTAATGAACGAGGTTCAGGGTGTCTTGGAGGTCAGGATCAGCACCATCTTGGTTCAGGCCCTCTGGTTGGTTTTTGTTGTTTTAGCCCTCTTCCTTCTTTTGGATTTTTCCTGTAACTGAAATGGAAAGAAAGTACAAAATTTTTGACAGCTGGGGTGGCCTACAGGGATGATGACAAAATATCTGTTAGCTCGTGAAATTCTCCAAGATCCCTATCTTGAAAAGCTTTGGTCCCCCACCGTTTTTGACCTAAGTCTTTTGATGATCTCCTGATTCTTGTAAGCCCTGTGAAGTCGTGCACGACCTCTGGACAGTTTGCTCCAACAGGAATTGATGGTTTGGGGCTTGATGCTTTCCACATCTTTTTCTACAACAACCATGTGTCTTCAGTGGGGTGACCTTCCAGACTCTCATGATGTTCTCTCTGTCAGGGTCCCTTTGCACAGCGTTGGCAGTCCTTTCTGGTGAGCCTTGTGTGTGATGACCCTTTAAGATCCTTGTGTCCCCTGATCTGGAGGCTGAGCTAAAACATGTGATTGAGGCAGGTAGACCACATCAACATCTGCAAGCTGACCTAATGGGGTTCTGAGTGGCCAGGGACGTTGTCCAATCTCAAAAGAACTTTAGAAAGCAGTCCTTTACTAGCAAGGTACTTCCTCTCTTTGGGGACAAAGCAGCAATGGAACCAGTCCAGAAAAAGTGTTCTCATTGCCCAGGCCTTCTTGCTGTACTTGTACCAGCCAGATGACTGGCAGCGGGTGTTTATCTTTTTGCTTCAGGGCTTGGGGCTTAGCAGTCTTTATCCAGCTGTATTTGTACCATATGGTTGTTAGCCTCTCACTTCCTACCTTAAATTCTGGTGCTCACTCCTCTGCCTTACTAATGTCCTTTGTGGCACTTTTTCCCAGAATGGGGAATTTTTGTGTACATTAAAAACCTGTTTAAATTATCTCTTTCTTAATGGCATCTGGGAACTTGTCTGCTGCCTCTTGGTCGGCAGAAGCTGCTTCTTCTGTTATCTTGGCATTTTTTTAAAAAGCCAAACCTCTTTTTAAAATTATCAAACCATCTTTTTTTATTTATTTTTTATTAATTATGCCATTACAGTTGTTCTATTCCCCCCTTCATTCCTCTCCACCCTACACCCCCATCCCCACCATTACCCCCCCTTTAGTTTATGACCATGTGTCTCAAGTTCTTTACATTCTATATTTCCCATACTATTCTTGCCCCCCCATCTATTTTCTATCTACTGTCTATGCTACTGATTTTCTGTACCTTCTTCCCCCTTCTCCTCCTCCCACTCCCCTGTTGCTAACTCTCCATGTGATCTTCATTTCTATGTTTCCACTCCTGATCTAGCTGTCCTTTTAGTTTGCTTTTGTTTTAGGTGTGGTTGTTAATAACTGAGTTTGCTGTCCTTTCACTGTTCATGTTTTTTTTACTTCTTTTTCTTAGATAAGTCACTTTAACATTTCATAGAATAAGGGCTTGGTGATGATGAACTCCTTGAATTCGATCTTATCTGAGAAGCACTTTATCTGCCCTTCCATTCTAAATGTAAGTTTTGCTGGATAGAGCAATCTTGGATGTAGGTGTTTGGATTTCATGACTTGGAATACCTCTTTCCAGCCCCTTCTTGCCTGTAAGGTCTTTTGAGAAATCAGCTGACAGTCTGATGGGAACTCCTTTGTAGGTGACTGTCCCCTTAGCTCTTGCTGCTTCTAGGATTGTCTCCTTCATTTTAATTTTGGCTAATGTAATGATGATGTGCCTTGGTGTGTTCCTCCTTGGGTCCAACTTCTTTGGTACTCTCTGAATTTCCTGGATTTCCTGGAAGTCTATTTCCTTTGCCAGATTGGGGAAGTTCTCCTTTATTATTTGTTCAAATAAGTTTTCCACTGGTGGCTGTGCCTTTCCCCCTTCTGGTACTCCTATAATTCGAATGTTGGAGAGTTTAAAGATGTCCTGGAGGTTCTTAAGACTCTCATTTCTTTGAATTCTTGCTTCTTGACTCTTTTCTGTTTGGCCATTATTTGCTTTCTTCTGGTCCACTCCATTGATTTGAGTCCCAGTTTCCTTTTCATTGCTATTGGTGTCCTGTGCAATTCCATTCATTTCAATTAGTTTCCCCTTCATATATTTGTCTAATTTGTGGCTATAATCAACCAGTTCTGTGAGGATCCTGATGACCAGTGTTTTAAACTGTGTGTCTGAGAGTTTGCTATTTCTTCATTGCTTAGATTTATAGGCTCTGGGGCTTTGAGATCTTCTTGAGGCATTTTTGGTCTGTTCGCGACCCTTAAGTATGAGGAGGGGAGCCTTGGACTCCCAGGTTGCTGGGTTGTGACGCTGTATGTGGGGGCGTGGTCAGAGCGGGGAAATGGCGACCCCCTCTGCTACTGCTCATCCCTGGGGCCTACTGGGTCCCGTCTAATCTCCCACTCCCTCGCTTGTCTATCATATGCGCACCAATGCGCTACCACAGTCTACCCGCAGCCCTGCTCCCTCACTGTTTCCCCGCTGTCGCTCCCTGGGTCGCTCACTAGGTCCAACCCTGCGCCTAGGTTCCGTGCGCCTGAGTCTGTCTGTCCGAGTTTTCCTGTGCAACCCCGCTCCGGCTAGCTGCTGGTTTCGCCCCTCTTACCGGTCAGGCTGAAGAATTCGTTGTTATCAGACTTCCGAAAAGTTCAATTTTCTCTGTTCTGGCTGTGTTTTCTGTTGCTAATATTTAGTTGTCTCTAAACTTGGTTGTGTGAGAAAGCACAGCATCTCCACCTATGCCTCCATCTTGGCGGAAGTCTCTTCAAACCATCTTTTGTTGGCATTAAATTCTTCAGCTTTACATCCTTCACCTTCCTTTTGCTTTAAGTTGTCTTATAATCACTTTGCTTTTTCTCAAATCATAATAGAGTCTGTAGGTATGCTTTATAGCAACCTGCACCCACATAAAATTTGCATTTTCAATATAAGATAAAAGGGTATTTTATTTAAAAACTCAAGGTTTTTGCACCTGCTGGTGTAGCTGCAGTGATAACTTCATGCATTTCCTTTTGTTTTGTTCTTAAACACTGGTTCTTACACTGGGTTTATTTATGTCAAAATGGTGGGCAACCACAGCTACAGACTTCAATTCATGACACCTGTCAAGCACCTCAGCTCTTCCTTGTGAAGTGATGACTTCTCTGCCTCTGGGCGCGCTCCCAGCATCACTTCCTGTGGGTCCCATGGTGTTAGTGGAGGGTTAGAGAATTGCACTAAACATGATGAAAATATGCAAGAACCTTGAGAGATCACTTTTTACTGCAATCTGCAGTTTACTAGAGATGAACTGTTCACACATTTGTTTTGTGAAATGTTCTTCAGTTTGGGTTTGTCTGGTTTTTCTTCCTGGTGAGGTTTTTGATGTGAATACCACTGAAGTAATGTCACACCCCATCAGAAGGCGCATGTTGGTGGTCTTTCCCATTTCTGATGATGTAGCCTGTTTCTCCACTGTGTTAATAAGTGTTTGGTATTGACACTTTTGACACTATAAATACTGTTTCCCATCATTTTTTAATTCACAGGTTATTACTGATTTTTGTTTGAATTTATGGGCTCCCTTTTAAAGAACTTTGCTGTAGATTCTATTCAGCAGTGTCCACCTACATCTCCTTAGCCAGAGCTACACCAAAGCTTTGAAATGTAATGTTTTTAGCTGTGTGTGCTGCTGCCTCAAACAAACATCAGAATTCTCTCAGGAAAAAAGGGTGCAGTGGATACACAAAGCTGCTAATGTGAATCACTGTTTCATTAATGAACTTAATTAACATAAATAAAATGGTTGAGACACCTAAATCTCAGTGAGGCATCTTTCATCTCTTATTTTATAGAACATAGAACCTACTGTTTTAGTAGGAAGTCTATTCGTATGCCCCACCCACATTTCCAAAGGGGGAAATGCCTAGGAACGAAGGCACCGAGAGGAATGTAACAGTGTTAGAGGATGTGCATTCCTTCTCCGCAAGCAGACCCTTAACTGACGCATAGTTCGGGTATCGCTCTGTCCCTGAAAAAGATTATTTATTTATTTATTTATTTATTTATTTGAGAAGTGGGGAGGGAGGTAGAAAGCAGGGAGAGAAACGTGGATCGGTTGCCTCTGGCATGCCTCTGACTGGGGAACTGACCCATAACCCAGGCACGCGCTGTGTGACTGGAAATCAAACTGGCAACCTGTGGCCTTACAGGTTGGTGCCCCACCCATTGAGCCACACCAGTCGGGGCTCATTTTTAACAAATGATAGAAAACGGAACATTGCAGAATATTGAGAAAAAACATTTTAGAAAGTCGTATTCTATATCATGGTAGGTACAGGGTATTCCTGGCAAAAAGTATTTGAGGCTCTCATTTTTCTCCCGTGGAGAGGTCCTGAGACAGAATGGCAGGTAATGGGGAATCTATAATATTCAGTGACAAAATAGCCATGCTTTTGTGTATTCATTAGAAAACATTTTGCTCATTGGAAAAATGTATTTTTTAATTTTATGCCTTTCAGTGAGGTTTACATGAACACCGTTTTTCTTTTGTTCAGGAAGTTTATCGGAATTCTATGCCAGCTTCCAGTTTCCAACAGCAGAAGCTTCGAGTCTGTGAGGTCTGCTCTGCCTACTTAGGTCTTCATGATAATGATAGACGGCTGGCCGATCATTTCGGGGGTAAACTGCACCTGGGATTTATTGAAATAAGAGAGAAGCTCGAAGAATTAAAGGTATATTGGTAAATTATATCTCTCACTTCATCCAGTTTGGCCCCCGTCATTCTTTTGATCTGTATTAATTGTCTTTGTATAGTGTTCTTGACAGACTTTTTTTTTTTAACAATTCATACCAAATAGTGTAGATTTTAAATTGAGGTACTAGCTGCTTTAATGAACGATGCTTGAGAAACACACCTTTAAATACTGCCGCTTTATGCTTGGAGGTAGGATTTGGATATGACCTGAAAGTAGGAATCTTAAAACAGGTTCTAAACTAATTCTTTCCTGCAAAGTTCTTTCAATTTATTATTCAAAAATTAATATTGTAATATTGACTTTAAAAGAAGATTGAGAAAATGAGTCCAGTGTTTACTTGAACTGCTTTGCAGTTCTTCCCCGAATAGAAAGCCTGTAGGGCCTCTGCTTTCATTTTACATCCCTGCCCGTTTCAGAAAGGAGTTGGAATTAAACCATGTATTTATTTACGTATTATTCTTATTTACTGAATGTATTGGGGTGACACTGGTTAACAAAATATGCAGGTTTCAGGTGCACAATTGTACAACATAGGAATGAAACCTATTATTATTTTTTTTTTTTGAGGATAATCACTGTCAAATATGTAAGCTGTTGTAAGAAAGGCAACAGTTCTTACTCATCTGCTGAGTTTTTTTTTTTTAAGAAGATAAGCAGACAAAAAAGGTGTTTCCGATGAAGTAAACACAAGCAGAGTTCTTGGTACTCTGAGTCGCTAGGATGATCTTACTTGGCTACGTTTTTTTAGAATGACAAAGTTTCACTATAGCAAATGGCTATTGGACGCTTAGGTTAAAACTACAGAATGGTACATACTTGGGATTCTTTGTAGGTACCAGCAATAGAACTGTTTAGCATTTTACTGGTGTTTTTGAAAGCAACAACATCAGGATAGTAATTGGGAGGGGCAGACGACATTCTGTATTGAGGATCATACAGCATGGTTATTTATAATGCTTGATTTCTTTTAAAAACTATAATGCCAGAAAACATTTAGAGGAGAAAAATTTATAGAACTGATTTTAAAATACCATTAAGAAGTCATGGAGACCTATGAAATTTTACAGATGTTCCCAAAAATGAAAGCTTTTGTAAACCAGATTTGTAAGCCTAATGATGGTACCTGTGAAAATTGAATTGTTCCTAAGCAGAGTTTGATGTTACCTGTGCAATATTGGAAACCAGATATGGAGAAGTACAGGATAATGCTCATTAAGAATGGACCCAATGAATAGTGCTCCTTATTTATTACTGTTTAAACTGTCATTATTTTTTAAAGAGAGTTGTAGCTGAGAAGCAGGAGAAGAGAAACCAGGAACGCCTGAAGCGGAGAGAAGAAAGGGAGAGAGAAGAAAGGGAGAAGCTGCGGAGGTACGGAGTGATTAATGGGTTGGGTGGTCCCAGTGTCTGAAGTTGACACGCGGGGTTCTAAAGAGGTGTGACTGTACAGGGTTCAGGCGGTAATAAATGTGGACCCGGGAAATTTCTGTTTACTCTTTGTTACCATGCAAAAACAATGTTTATGCAAGGATGTTAACTATGGCCATTCGAGGCAAGGTGTTTTCCTTCCAGATGTGTGGAAGAGGTAATAATAGAATGCCTTACATGTTGATGTTTTATAAGACATGTGGAAAAATCCTTCTAGCCTTCTGATTTTCATAATGGGCTAGATTGGTACCGGGTTGTCACGGAACCATTGTTATTTTTATGATATATTTTATACTTGATAAAAGGTTTGGTTTCTTTGTTTTATTTGATATTTTATTCTCTGTTTGATTCTAGGAACTATAAATGATTAAATTTTTATTAATATAATAAGTATAGCTATTTATATATTGGCATTCATTAGTTGATAGACCCACATAACTCTTCATATTTACAGTGTTTAAATGTTCTGGGTCAACACTGGTGACAGATTGTGTCGCACTGTGCTGGCAGCATTCTTTGTGCCCGCTCGCTGCTCCCGCCTCCCTTCACTGCTTTGGAACGGGCAGGCACGCCACAGAAGACTCACCTGTAGTCCTCATCCATAGCGCTCCCTTAACAGTGTAACATCACACATCTCTGAAGTTTAAATTCCTTTTCTTCAGCAGATGTGCCTCAGTTAATTGAAACCCTCTGTAACATGTGCGGGGTCACACCAACTTCCTCCATGCTTTGAGCGCAAACTTCATTTATCACTTCAGACATCTTGAAACTTGAACTTAACAGCACTATGAGATTTGGCTTATAGCACTGAAATGATAGAGTGAGACACACTGCCTGGGGAGGGCTTCCTTTTTATAGGGACGTGTTGTCTGTTTACCATCAGTTTTATTTACCTCAGAGCTTCATCTCTGTTCTCTTTCTGTCCAGTCTGATGGTAACATTGCCCAACGCTGTAATATATATAATGATGTAGATGGCATTAGAAATTCCAGTTTAAGTTAAAATTCAACTGAATGTAGTGCATTCACATGAATGATTCAACTGAGGTGAGTCGGATGGGAAAAGTTCTGTGCAGGACTGTGCTTTTTCATTTGTTGCCACCCAGCAAATTTCTATAAAATGTAAAGTGTTTCAGCAAAGTTTTTAAGTCTGTGAACTTAAGGATATATTGTAACTAAGCATGGAAGATGAGGAAATTGCTAGTGAGTTCAAAATTACACAAGATAGAGTTCCAGCTGTGGGTATTGAAAAGGGTAATGGTAAAATCACTGTCTCTTACCAGGTGGTGTTTCCCAGGCACTGTGCTAAGAATTTGCTTCTAGTGGTTCATCTGACCCTTACAACCCTGCCGTGAGATTTATATCACCCTCCTTCATGAATAACAGGCTGAGCTGAGGGGGGTGTATATCATACAGATGATATACACGCAGATGGTGGGTGGTGGAGCCGGAGTTGGAACCTCATCAGGCTGAGTCCGAAGCCTTGCTTCAGCCTCTATACAGTGTCCACAGAAACATCCTTGTAACCCTAGTTAACCATAATGTGGGAGGTTACTGTTTATTGACCGTTAACTGCGTGCCAGGAAATGTAAGTTTGTGTTGTGTAAGCGCGTTAAGTGTCATGTTAAAAAAACATGTTGTAAGATCAGTTTGGGTGTTCTAGGAATTATAGTCTGAGGTTGCAGATCCCCAAAGTGTATGCACCTCAGACCATAGAAATTTTACCCATTTCCCAGGGGAAAGGAGACAGGACAGAGAGAGAAATGACAGGGAACATTTTCAGGGTCGGAAGGTGGTTTCTGGAGGAGCGAGTTGTGACACACTGTGTTTCAGTCTCCGAGGAGCGCAGTCTTTCTGACCAGCCAGGTGTCCCCGTTAAGAGAGCTCATGTGCCAAACGGGGACTTCTGCGGGGTGTGTGGTACATTTGGAAAAAGCTTATGTGCATACACAGATGCCTTATATTTATAAAGTATAAAAATTAAATCGGGAAGAATGTTATTTTAAGAGCACATTTATGGTTACTTTTCTAAAAATAGACTTTCTTCTTTTTTTTTAGGTCTCGATCACATAGCAAGAATCCAAAAAGGTAGGTGTAATGCAAGTTAAGTATAAGTAGCGAAGCTGTGTTTTTCAGAGATAGTTGATACCAATTAAATGTCTTTTACAAGTGAACAAGAGTACATTTAAATAGATTAGTACATTTAATTTCTTTGTAGTTTAAGTTTGAACAATATTATTTGAGAAGAAACTGGTCAGAAGATACTCATGCACTACAGTGTAGTTTTATCAGAGTAAAATTACATACAATGCCCTGGAGTGAGAGGGAAAGCTAAAAACATTTCAGATTTTTTTTTAGATTTTATTTATTCATTTCTAGAGGGGAATGGTGAGCGAAAGAGAGGGAGAGAAACATCAGTGTGCGAAAGAAACATTGATTGGTTGCCTCTAGTACACACACCCCCAACCAGGGACCTGGGCCACGATCCGGGCATGTGCCCTGACCAGAAATTGAACCAGCAACCTTTTGGTGTGCACACTAGTGCTCAATCCACTGAGCCACACCAGCCAGGGAAGAACATGTCTTTAGAATCTTCTTTAGAAGCTCAGAGTAAATATTTGACAGGATTTATTTTTTAAAAAGTCAATTTGGGGCGGTTTGATCAGTTCCCAGTCAGGGCACACCTCCCAATGGGGGGCACACGAGAGGCAACCACACACTGATGTTTCTCTCCCTCTCTTTCTCCTTCCCTTCTACTCTCTCTAAAAATAAATAAAATCTTTAAAAAAAAATCAGTTTGGATGGCACATTTAAGAAACACATTCTAAGGGGTTATGCCTGTTGAAAATGTAAGTTGGTTAAGTAGTTGGATACCTTTTTGATTTTTTTTCTTCTTCCCCCTCCCGCGGCTCTAGTCGGATACCTTTTTGAATGAGGGGTTTGTGCTGGGTTATGAGGAGAAACTAAAATGTTCAGGTTATGCCTCTATCTTGACTTTATATGAGCTTATGACTTTCCATTTGTGACTGATCACAAAATCTTTAAAGGGCACTTGAGCCATTAAGAGGAGGGCAACTAGGTAACATTTTTCTTTGACTTTTGGGTTTAATATTTGAAGTCTTTTTTAAAAATATTTTATTTATTCATTTTTAGAGAGAGGGGAAGGGAAGAAGAAAGAGTGGGAGAGAAGAAATATCAACGTGTGGTTGCTTCTCAATGTGTCCCCTCCTGGGTACCTGGTCTGCAACCCAGGCATGTGCCCTGACTGGGAATTGAACCAGCGACCCTTTACTTCATAGGCCCATGATCAATCCACTGAGCTACACCAGCCAGGGCTAATATTTGAAGTCTTTTTGAAACCTTTCTTTATAATTTTTACCAGTTACTAGTATCTTTTTTTCTATCTGAGAGAGGTGGGAAAACATGGTGTATTTCATCATTCTTAATTTTTCACTTGCCATTCTCATTCTTCTCCTTGAACCTTTCTCATAAATTTATTCCCACCTAGATTGCCCTTTCTTGTTCTTTTTCGAATACTATTATTCTTCTTGTTTGGATCACATCTTTTTGAAATGTTCTGAAAACTCTTAACTCTAAAGAATAACTGTTTCCCAAGAGCTTTCCTCTGTAAACTAGAGCATTTGTCATGAAAGAAATATTTATTTATCTACATACTTACTTTTGGAGAGAGGGGAAGTGTGGGAGAAAAGGAGGAAGAGAAATGTCAGTCGGTTGCTTCTTGCACGTGCCCCACTTAGAGTCTTCAGTTGTTTTTCTAAAATCTTAAAAAAAAAATAAGATATTAATAACCAAGACCAGTTGGGTTAGCTAATTTATATTGTGAGCTTCTCAAATCTGGAATGAGAAGTATAAACATTAAATGATAATTCTGTGCTGTTTACTGGTTGATGAATGCAAGGTGGTTATTTGTTGAAAAATACGTTTAAACCGTGTACATAAAACATCTTTAGAGAATCAGACCAGAAATTTTATTTCAAGCACTCTAGTGCAAGCCACTTCTTACCTCTGTATATTCTGACACCATCTTACTTGGTCTGTAATTTCTACACTTGACCACTCCCCTTCTCTAACTCAGTCTGTTTTCCACACATCAACCAGAATGAGCTTTTTAAAAAGTGAAGTAAATCATGTCAACTTTGTTCAAGTCCTCCTAAGGTACTCCATTTCCCTTTTACCTGTCTGATGCCCACATACCTGTGTAGACATTCTGGAGTATACATGGTGGGTGAAGGTAGGTTATAATTGTTTGTACGGGAAATACACTAATTAATAAATAATAGGGCAAGGCTAAACTCTGTGTTTCACATACTCACAACTGTAAACCTACTCTTGCCCACCCCCGAGTGCTCCATGAAGTTTAGGACTTTAATTGCTGCTCAATCTCCTTAGTACCCAGAACAGTGAGTGCAGTAGGCATCCAGTAAATATTTTTGAATGGATGAATAACTTTAAAAATGAATGAAATTACAGATTGGAAGAAATAGCTGTTATAGTAGCTGAAAATGAGTGACTAAACAACATATCACTTGGTATAACTTACATTGAATGAACTTTATGTGCTTGTCCTCCTGCTGCTTACAAGAAATACTCAGTTGTGTAATACTCTGTGTACAGTGTGTGCCTTCCTTTGACTGTAGTGCTTTCAGACTTCATCTAACATAATAATCATTGGCAAATAAACTCAGAAGGACTTCTGCCAAGATGGAGGCGTAGGTGGAAACACTGTGCCTTCTCGCACAACCAAGTTTAAAGACAACAAAATTTTAGTAACAAAAAATACAACCAAAACACGGAAAATTGAACTATACCGAAGTCCGACAACAACGAACCCTTCAGCCAGACTGGTAAGAGGGGCAGAGCCAGCGACTGGCAGAGCTGGGTTGGTCAGGAAAACGTTGCCAGACTGACACAGGTGCGTGGGCGGTGGTTGGCAGATCCCAGGTGTGGGGTTGCGACGGGCAGACCCAGTGAGGCCCAAGGCGGCTGGCTGACCGCGGTCACACATTTGCATGCAGATAAACCAGGCAAAGGAACGAGCAGTGAGACAGACCACTGAAAAAGACTGTGCAGGCCCCAACGACGGGAAGCAGCAGAGGGGACAGCTGTTGCCCTCTTTGACCCCGCCCCCACATACAGCATCACAACCCAGCGACCTGGGTGGCCCTGCCGTGGTGAACACCTAAGGCTCCGCTCGTTATATCTAATGGCACAAGCAGACCAAAACGTGGCTCAAGAAGAACTCAAAGCCCCAGAGCCAATAACTCTAAGCGACGAAGGAATAGCAAAACTTTCAGATGCACAGTTCAAAACACTGGTGATTGGGATGCTCACAGAACTGGTTGGATTTAGTCACAAATTAGGAACACCTGAAGGCTAAACTGATTCAAATCAAGGGAGTGGACCAGAAGGAGAAAAAAAATGAACAAACAGAAAAGAGTGAAGAAACAAGAATTCATAAAAATGAGGAGAGGCTTAGGAACCTCCAGGACATCTTTAAACGCTCCAACATCCGAATTATAGGGGTACCAGAAGGGGAAGAGGAATAGCCATGAGTGGAAAACTTACTTGAACAAATAATAAAGGAGAACTTCCCCATCTGGCAAAGGAAATAATAGACTTCCAGGAAGCTCAGAGAGTCCCAAAGAAGTTGGACCCAAGAAGGAACACACTAAGGCACATCATCATTACATTAGCCAAGATTAAAATGTAGAGAATCTCAAAAGCAGCAAGAGATAAGGGGACAGTTACCTACAAAGGAGTTCCCATCAGATTTCTCAAAAGAGACCTTCCAGGCAAGAAGGGGCTGGAAAGAAGTATTCCAAGTCATGAAAACCAAAGACCTACAACCAAGATTGCTCTATCCAGCAAAACTTTCATTTAGAATGGAAGGACAGATAAAGTGCTTCTCAGATAAGATCAAATTCAAGGAGTTCATCATCACCAAGCCCTTATTCTATGAAATGTTAAAGGGACTTAGAAAAGATAAAGATGAACAATGAAAGGATAGCAAACTCACAGTTATTAACAACCACACCTAAAACAAAAGCAAACTAAGAGGACAGCTAGATCAGGAGCGGAATCATAGAAATGAAGATCACATGGAGGGTTAGCAACAGGGGAGTGGGAGGAGGAGGAGGTACAGAAAATAAGTAGCATAGACGGTAGGTAGAAAAGAGATAGGGGGAGGGCAAGAATAGTATGGGAAATATAGAATTTAAAGAACTTGAGACACGTGGTCATAAACTAAAGGGGGGGAATGGTATAGGAGGGGTGTACAGGGTGGAGGGGAATGAAGGGGGGAAATAGAACAACTATAATGGCATAATCAATAAAATTAATTTAAAATAAATAAATAAATAAATAAGAAAATAAACTCAGGCCCTCGCTGGTGTGGCTCAGTGGATTGAGTGCTGGTCTGCTGTCTGAAGGGTCGCCGGTGTGATCCCCATTCAGAGCATGTGCTTGGGTTGCTCAGGTCTCCAGTTGGGGGCGTGCAAGATGTTTGATGGGCGAACCAGTTGATGTTTCTCTCACATGTCCATGTGTCTCTCCCTCTCTTTCTCCCTGCTTTCACTTCTCTCTCAAAATAAATGAAGTCTTTTTTTTAAAGATGTTTCATAAAAGAATTAAAATGTTTATTTTTTTAAATAAAATATACTCAGTTTGGTAATTGCAACAGTTAAATGTGCTTCTGAGCTCTAGCAAATGAAGCGACTCTTTCAACAAAGCGCGTGCCTTTTTTCTCTTGCTGTCCACCAGTTGTCCTTGTTCTGCAGGTGGCTGTCCCTACCCTCCCCATGCTTGGTGCACAAGTTAGTTCTGTGAACCAGTGCAGACTACAGAAAACTACTTGGTTTTTCCTACCCAGCTTCTTCAAAATGTTTTTTCTCTATATTCATATACTTGTAAATACATTTTTTTACAGCTTTAAGTAAAGTTGTCTAAAACGATTTTTGCGTGTTAGTTTTTTCTTCCAGTTAAATAATGCCCTATGTGTCTTGATGACTGAGCATATTGTGGATAAACATACTTCAGCGGTCATATAACACCTCTCTAATTCAGAGTTACTTTATTTTTTCATTTTAATCCTACCCGAGGACATACCTATTGACTCTATAGAGAGTGGAAGGGAGGGAGGGAGAGAGAGACAGACACTGATCATTTGCATCTCCTGCAAGCCCTCTCCAGAGACCAAGCCTGCAACCTTGGCATGTGCCCTGCCTGGAATTGGAGCCCGTGACATTTTGGTTTACCGGGATGGCGCTCCAGCCGTCTGAGCCACAGTGGTCAGGGCTAATTAGAGAGTTTTAACAATTCTTTCTCATGCCTCTCCTTCCTTCTGTCCATTCTATCAAGTATACACTATGTCTAAATTGTACTGAAAGTCTTAGAAGTTTAAAGAAAATTAATTCCATAAAGCATCTAGAAAATACAATCTCTGGGGAGTAGTAGGGCTGTAGATCGTTTCCTTCCCTTTTTATATTCCTGGTGCAAATTTATACAATGTCAATTGACCACTGAGAGCTAGCATTAGTTTTTGTCTTGAAATTCTAGTATGAAGTTATTTAAAACACCATCAATTTATTTTAGTGTAGATTTAGCTGACTTGAAACACATTAAGCAAAGCTACTGAGGGATAGTTTCTCTTTAAAGAAGAGGCTTTAGTGAATGAACATTGTAGCTTAGTGAAATATTTTTTGTAGATCCAGGTCCAGAGAGCACCGCCGGCATCGGTCTCGCTCCATGTCGCGGGAACGGAAGAGGAGAACTCGATCCAAATCTCGGGAGAAACGCCATCGTCACAGATCTCGCTCTAGCAGCCGCAGCCGCAGCCGCAGCCACCAGAGAAGTGGGCACAGTTCTAGAGACAGGAGCAGAGAGCGATCCAGGAGGAGGTACTGAGGTGTCCCTAAGAGGACGTGGAACTACCTTAGGGTTTTGCATTGGAATACTATTGGTGTGAAACTTGCATCTGGTAATGTGTACACATTTGTGTGGGTGTATAACAGTGTTTTCCCTGATTGTATGGTGGTTCAGAAAGAATATACTTATGAGCCAGAGTAAGAAATTGGAACAAATATTTGCAGAGATTACTGCTTTTCTCTGCGTAGTGTGTCTTGGTGGGGAAAAAGTACTTTATGGGCAAATAATTTTAGGTACCAATAGTCTTCAAGTTTTTTCTGTATGTGTTCATGAATTACGGCCTCTGAGAAGTCCTTTCATTAAGATTGTTTAGCTTCGTTAGAAATTGGTTGTTTTTTGTACTTCTTTGAGCTGGTGCACTTTTTCGGGGCAGACACGTCTAGTATATTCTTTTTTAATCCGCACGATGGGTATGCATTGTTATATACAGTTGGCTTGACAGGGCAGATTGGGAACCTCACGGAATTTAGATTTTTCTAGGCATGAAAATTCAAAAGGTACAAGGAGGGCCAGAGAGAAGTTTGAGGACCTGGATATCTAACTGAGACAGAGGGTGAGAACGTGGCGGAGACTCAGCCCTCACCGTCTCTGTAGAAGAAACTTCTGAGACTCCTCAGGTCACGTGATGGCCCTGAAGCCAGTTCATTTCCGTTGAACATAAACCACACTTAAAATTTTTTTTCTTGACAACTCTTCTTAAACATAAGATTTTTTGAGTGCCTAGTATCTACTAGTCATAAATTTTTTAATGGATTACTCCATATAAAGCCGATGACAGAATCCACAGAAAACTGTTTAAACTTTCTGGGTTTTGTTTTGTTCTTTTTAACTCCCAACCAGCCTTTCCCTGAACTCACTCACAAGCTGAGTTAGTTAATGGGCTGTCAATCAATATTTATTGTATTCTTGCCTTGTTCAAACTAGCTTTTTTTTCCCCCAGCTTTTTATACAGTTGGCAAATAAAATTCTAAGGTATTTAAAGTGTACACTGTGGTGATTTGATGTACGTGTACATTAAGGAAGGTTTCCCACCACACGCATCAGCTCTTTGGTGAGAACATCAAAGTTCTCTTAGCAAAACAAGCAGTTAAGGTGACTTTAATCAGGAAGAATTGTATACTTTGTACTGTAGGCCTAGCAGACGATAATGAAATAACGTAGCTGAGCCACTTTATTCAGTTGACTGAGAACACAGGACTAACATCTTTGACAGTAATCAGACTGATAAAATACCAAGTATGTTATAAAGTGCTGAACTGTGTATCGTAGAGTACATGGTAGAGGCATTCGGATGAGGGAAATCCCAGAGTAATAAAAAATGGCTTCAGATAATGGGTAAAACTCAAATACAGCAGGTGTAATTGGAATAGGTAAAACCAGGTAGGAGAAATCAGGCAAATGCAGAGGATGAGCAGGGAGTTTATAAGGGGCAATTCCTAATAGTGTGATTTGTAGGCCACTTAATCTCATATTCTTAGAACTGGGCAGAGTGCAGTGCCCAGCAAAACACATTTAAAAAACATTCTCCGCCAGTCTTCAATGCACTGTAAATGCTGGTGACCACTCTGCCAGTCGATGGAAGGTCTAGGCCCAGCTGTGTCCAGCCTTTTGGCATTTCTGGGCCATACTGGAAGGAGAGTCGTCTTGGACGCACGGTAAATACACAGACACTTAAGGAAAACAGAAATGTCTCAATGTTTTAAGTAAATTTTTTATTTTGTATTGGGCCACATTCATAGCCATCCTGCACCACAGGTTGGACACTCCGGGCTCTAGACAGTTTCCTTTGGGAGCCTGCCCACCTTTCATTGTTTCCGGCATCTGTCACCTCCTAAATATCTTTTCCGGCCTTGGGGATGGAAGGGATGTTCACCTGAGGTTGTGTTTGGTCTCTGCCGCCTCCTGAATTTATGAAGCTGTGTAGGAACATTTCCACCAAACACATGACACCTCTGCTAAATTTCTAGCATGTTCCTACAGACGACTGTTTTTGTAAAACTGTTTGAAGTTTTGCTTTTCTCTAGAGCACTTCTAATCTCGATATTCACATTATTGTCTTTCAAAGCAACAATTTTTTTACCAAAAATTATCAAACAGTTGCTATCGAAACCTACATGTTATTATACATACACAAGCATAAAGTTATTCCCACATATTTGATTTTAATTTTCAAGGTAAAAAATCTCAGTTAAGAGTCTTTTATGATATGCTGTTCTCCTGCCCCAGCCAAAGTAGTGGTCTCTGGTATGAGTAGAGTCTGTTTGTGACCTTCCCCTGGCAACAGTTACCCTTGGCAAAGGAGGGGCATTTGCATTTTTCTGCTTCCTACTCTATTCAGACATACAGTGCAGACTCCGGAGTCAGGCCACATCATTTAATGATCCCACCTTTCTTTTCCCATCTACTAAGTAGAGCTACTAAGAGTACCTGCTTTGTTAGGGTTACGGGCAGTCCGGGTGAGATAGGGAATGGAAACTGCCGATGTGTGGACATCGTAATCGCACACGAAGCAGTAGTTGATGCTCATCTCATAGTTGATTTTCAGTTGTTATCACTGACCGCTTAGTCTTCATATTCCATTCTTACAAAGATTATGGGTAGGATGAGTGTAACCAGATACGGGCACTGTGTGATTTATTTTTACACATTATTTTTTAATTAAGCTTATTAAAACCTTAATAAGTAGAATGCTTCTAGTTGACATTACTTTATCTTTCAGCCTTTTTGGTTTAATCCTTAATTTTATTTCTAAAACTGAGTATAGTAGTAATTCTTTCCTGCCTTAGAAGTTGAAAGTATTAATCAGACCCCAGATCTAAATTCTGAACGTGGGTTGAAATGATTATGTAGAAATACCATGTCACCTGTAAAGAATGAAATAAACGTAGTATGTGTTTCCGATTCATTCTAGATGTTGAAAGTATAGCAGATTTCACTTTAATTCTGATCCTGTGATGTCCTTGGTTTTTCTTCTGACTGAATCTCTGATATAACCTTGTTTTGTTATTTACCTTATTGGAGTTGGGTGTGGTGACGGAGAGGCGGTATTAAGAAACAGTTCTGGTTAATCAAGATTGATTGTAGTGTGATCATCTTCCTCTGTCTTCCATTCTGATTTTTTTTCTTTTGGTGAATGAGCTAACTCAGGAGGAGTAAAGGACATTTTAAAAATAATAAATGTTTACCATGTCATTAATTCATTAATGGAGTAGTTTTCTTCCCTAAGTTGCCCGCAGGTCAGATCTGGCCCTCAGGCTTGTTTTTGCCTCGGCAGCAAGCTCTGGGTGGTTTTTACATTGTTCAAAGGGTTGATAAAAAAAGGAAAAGGGAGAATACACCACGGAGACAGTATGTGAGCACAGTACCTAAAACATTTACTCTGACCAGACAGCAAAAGAGGTTTGCAGACCCCCCTGCGTAAGACACTGATTTCCATCCACTTTGGGAATCTACATTCTATTACATGTTTCTTAATTGGATAATACCTTCTGCTTTTGAAAGGTATTGTCTGTAACTCTTACACTAAATACATTGATAGGAATCAGAATCTTTTTGATTGCCTCTAAAACAGTGAGAATATTCTATAAATCATTATTTTAGCATGTGGTTTTCAACTTAAGCTATTTGTGTTCCCTCGTGTCCTTGTTTAGACCCTTATCTATTATGGTGGTGCTCTTTTCTGTTAGAAAACTGACTCCTGTCTTTTTGGATGTATTCTGTATTCTTCAGCTATCAATACCTTAATATTTATCCGATTCTTTCATTTGGATTTTGGGTTTCCCAACACATTTTGCTCCTCAAATTAATATTTTTCAGATCCTCAAAAGAAAGATTCAGAGACCAAGACTTAGCATCACGTGACAGAGACAGGAATTCAAGAGACAGATCACCTGGTGACAGAGATCGGAAAGATAAGAAGCGGTCCTATGAGAGCGCTAATGGCAGATCAGAAGACAGGAGGAGCTCTGAAGAGCGCGAAGCAGGGGAGATATAATTAGCTGTGTACATGTCCTCAGTCCTTAAGCTTCCTCTGGAGTTACATACTATTGTTTAGTTTACAGCTGTTCGGGGGGCACAGTGAGCAGTTCCACACACCGGTCCAGCTAGGCTAGATATACAGTTTCCAGCTCGATCTGAACTGAGCGTGTTTTCCTTGATGAAGCCTCAAACTGCACCCGTAGTTCCTGGTGAACCTGTAATACAGTTCTGAAAGTGTTCAACACAGTTTTATATACGAGAAAGACACAGATGTCTTTGTTCTTTCTAGTAGAATTGAGAACAAATTGTGTTACTTGCCTCGGGGTTTTTGAACATTTGTAAAAACGCTGTTTTCCTTTCTAGTCCAAACAGCGCACCTTTGGGGATTTGCTTTTTAATCCTTCTTGCTCCGACTTCTGTGTCCCCTACCCACCCTCTAATTTTAAGAGAAGGGGGTTGGGGAAGCAATATAGCTTTTGTTCTAAGGTTCTGTTCCCATTAATAACTAGCTAATTACAGTTCAGAGCATTTATACTGGAATGTGTGCTGGAGAAATTTAAATATGGGGAGGTTTTTTTAGTTTGTTTAGGGTTGGAAGTTGAACAGCTTTTGGATTACATATACTTTGCTTTTTTTATTGACAATTGGAAATCAAATAAGTCTTGATTTTTCTGTTGTATTGAATTACTACATTCAGGGTGTTTTGAAAAGGGGGTGGGGACAGGGACTTTCTCACAAGCACTTCTGTTTTGTGTGTGTGGAATATAAAGGCTATACCCTTATTGTAAAAAAACATGAATAATTAAATGAAACAGTCACCACCACCATTACTATTAAACTGTAACCTGTCTAGTAAATTGTCACTAGAACTACTTGCTGTGAGCATTTCTTTTATTCTTTTATATCATTACTAGTGCCTTACTGTGCAAGGCACCAAAGGAGATATACACACACACTCTCGAAGATTGGAGCCGAACTGCTGTTCCCCTGGGTTCCTGGCCAACACACTTCAGGGCTGTCTGTACGTCTGCTTCACGAAGGACTGGACCTGCAGAAGAAACTGGGTTTTTCATTTGCTTTTGTTTTGTATTTCTTCTTATTCGGCAAACTGAAATAAAAACACGGTATAACCAATGTAATGAGACTAACGGTTTCTGCATTGAAAGCTATAGATACCCACTGTGATTTAAATGTCACTTGAGATTCTAGAAAATCTGAGTAACAAAAATACATTAAGGGCTGAAATGAGTGTCAGTGAGTACAGTTAACTAAGATCACCTTTTAAGAACTAGTTTTTATTTGTTCCCCTAAGTGGCGAATTTGAGGTCACAGGAACGTGGTCCTCACATCGGATTTACAGGGTGTGAGTCTGAGGCCCCTGCGCATCACTGGTTGCTGAGGGACTGTTCTGTGTCCACGCCGTTCCTAGTGGTCTGCGCTCCTCCCTTAAATCCCTACAGGCACTTGGGGTTTAGTGCCTGGGATGTGGAGGGAGATGGAAAAGGTCAGGCTGGTGGCATCGGGGAAGACTGTCTGAGACCTGGCCTGTGATGGTCGGTGGTACGTCTAGGCTGAGACACCGAGCTCCAGAACATGATTGAAAAATACGGTTTAGTGTTATGTTGGTATAATTGGAATTTAATCCTCATTTTCTGCCTAATCATACAGAAACCTATATTGTTAGCTGTTGCTGCAGTTGTGGTTTGCAGGCAGCACGGGCCCCTGGCCCAGAAGGTCAGTGGCAGCCAGTGAAGGACACAGCCAGTGAAGGACAGCATCGCGCTGGGCTGGCTCCGTTGGGGGGTGGGGGTCACTCCGGCCATGTGTGCCTTTTGGTGAGTGATCCTGATTTAAAAACCCTAGGACGATTCTCTTGCTTAGATGCTTCTAGTATTTAGATCTGGGGTAAATTATCTGTATTTTCAGTAATTATCCGTGAGCCACGGCAACCACTCAGAATAACCCTAAAATCACAATATTTCTGTTCCTCATACCCCGTTTTTGGCACTTTTTTGTATCTGGTGACTGTAATAGAAAGTGTAAGTTCAGTCCCATATTTGCAAAACCGTTGGATCCTGTGATGTCATGCGCGGTGACCTTCAGCAAGGCCTGTGTTTGCTGTCGTTGGGCAGCCCCCCAGAGCCACTTGGCTGAGATGGGTCAGCAACAGCCACCAAACGGAAGGAAAAACCCCTCCATTCTAAGTAGACTTGAAAAAGAAGGACTTTACCTCTCAGATAATTATCCTGACACTAATGTTTTAACTTTTCTTCATCTTTTCCAAGTTTTTTTCCCTCCATGTTGCACTTTAAGAGCCCATTTCCATAACTAGTAATAGCTGTCAAGCCTGGCCCTTGGAGCAAGAGCCCTGCCTGCATTATAATCTAAACATTTGTCATGCATCGTGGTGATTTCCCATGCATTATGATACCTTTCAAAATGGTTTTTATAAACCAGTTTTAAAAATCAGAAATGCTTATAGGATTTTCAGCATTAAAAGTCCAAGTAAATATCACGCAACTTTAAAATGTGTACCTGTCCAAGGTGGACACTCAGCTGGTGTGCACGGGTGTAGCAGCCATTGGAATCCGTGAGCCTTCGACCCGCACTCCTTCCGTCAGTCGTGTGCACCTGCCCTGACCTTGAGCGCCTTCCCCGTGAGCATCCTCACATCTCTCCAGGTGATGGCCACCCAGCCGAGAGCCTTCAGAGCCCCTCAGTCCGCAATCACGTACTGTATACTATACTGGCTGACATATCTTGAAAAACATTCTTGTCTGTTTTTTTCTATGTTGAAAAACAAAGCTGTTTAAGCCATGATTTTATGATACCCTGACTTAATAATTAGATTTTCCCAGGGTAGAAATAAGGCAATACAAAGTTGTCCTCTGTTTTTCTTTCCATTGCCTGTGCTAATGGGCAAAAGTAATCCCAGCACCGGGGGAGTTAGGAGGGACTGGGGAGGGCGGGGAGAACAGGGCTTTGACGGCAGAGGCCGAGTCTTTGGGCAGACAGGTCCTGTTTGGTGTGTCTGCCTGTTTTTCACGTTCCGGCAGACACTAGCGTGTCAGAGGTTCTGGGTCTACAAGCACATCTGGGCATCAGACCAGACTAACGGCCAGTGCAGTAGGGTTGAGGCTGAACAAGACATTCGGACTCTGAACTGGGCTCAGTCAAGGACCCAGCAAGGGGCCGAGGCCGCAGAGAAGGCAGAGCAGCTCTCGGGGTCCCAGCCGCAGTGCACTCCTGTGCTGGATGCTGCTAGGTGTCTGTGACAGAAGACCCACTTCATGGGGGCTTGAACATGCAGAGGCCCTTGGCTCACGTGGTTGAGTTCCACATGGCAGCTCCCTTCTGAGACATTTCTGTGATCAGCACTGGGTCACATTCCCACTTGGGAACCAACCGAAGTGGCAGTAGAGTAATGGTGCTCCTGACGGGCTCGGGCTGGGGCCCCTGAAGCAAACGCTGCCCAGCAGGCTGGGATCACAAGTTGGCGTAATGGGCTCGGGTGAGTCAAGTGCTCACCCTCGGCCCCAAACGGGGGTCACCGTCAGACCACACGGCTGCTCCACGGGTTGGGCACCAGAGTGTGGGGCAGATGAGGGGGACGACCCGAGTCCCCAGTGATTCCTTTCCCTGAATACGCTTGAATGTTGGCAGCCTGACCAAGCTGGGGCAGTGAACGGGCCTTGTTTCCTGCACCTTCCTACGAGCCTGGAGTGGAGGTGTAGCCAGTGTTCAGTGAGTATTTGAGATGATCATCGAAGTGCCTCATCGTTTCCACGAGCCTTGGCCCACATCATCTCTGAGTCATACATCTCGGGTGGGAAGAGCGGTGTCCCCTCGTTACACCCCTTTTACTGGGGAGGGAACCGAGTGGTGCCAAGTGACTGATCACACACATCACAGAGTTGGCCAACATCCTTGATTCTGAGCCTGAGGCTCTTTCTGGCATAGGTGTGTCCTGGACTGGGAGAGGAAAGAAGGGACCAACAGGAATGTCCCAGGAGGGAACAAAAAGGCCCAAATAAATGAAGATGGGGTAATCACTGTATGGTTGTGCCGTGTAGTCTCACTTTTACACTGCCTCGGAAGTACAGTGTAACATGAAAAGCCGCATTTACCCACACTGGGATGTATGGATTACACGGTTTAGTTCCCTGATTTTTTTTGAGGGGGGTGTTTAGAAAGTTTGGTACCGCTTACTTGTAATCAATGTTTAAATCTTACCAGGTGGAGACTTCCGCCAAGATGGAGGCATAGGTGGAGACGCCGTGCCTTCTCACACAACCAGGTTTAGAGACAACTAGATATTAGCAACAGAAAACACAGCCAGAACACAGAAAATTGAACTTTTCGGAAGTCTGATAACAACGAATTCTTCAGCCTGACCGGTAAGGGGCGAAACCAGCAGCTGGCGGAGCGGGGTTGCACAGGAAAATTCGGTCAGAAGGACTCAGGTGCAGGGTTGGATCTAGTGAGCGACCAAGTGAGCGAGCGACCGCAGGGGAAACAGCGAGGGAGCAGGGCTGCGGGTTGACTGTGGTCGCATGCGCGGATAGACAAGTGAGGGAGTGGGCGGTTGGACCGGAACCCAGCGGGTCCCCACAGCAAGCAGCAGGGAGGGCGCCACCATTTCCCTGCTCTGACCCCACCTCCACATACAGCGTCACAACCCAGCGACCTGGGAGTCCAAGGCTCCCCTCCTCACACTTAAAGGGCGCGAACAGACCAAAAATGGCTCAAGAAGATCTCAAAGCCCCAGAGCCTATAAATCTAAGCAATGAAGAAATAGCAAAACTCTCAGACACACAGTTTAAAACACTGGTCATCAGGATCCTCACAGAACTGGTTGATTATAGCCACAAATTAGACAAATATATGAAGGTGAAACTAATTGAAATGAATGGAATTGCACAGGACACCAATAGCAATGAAAAGGAAACTGGGACTCAAATCAATGGAGTGGACCAGAAGAAAGCAAATAATGGCCAAACAGAAAAGAGTCAAGAAGCAAGAATTCAAAGAAATGAGGAGAGTCTTAGGGACCTCCAGGACATCTTTAAACGCTCTAACATCCGTATTATAGGGGTACCAGAAGGGGGAAAGGCACAGCCACCAGTGGAAAACTTATTTGAACAAATAATAAAGGAGAACTTCCCCAATCTGGCAAAGGAAATAGACTTCCAGGAAATCCAGGAAGCTCAGAGAGTACCAAAGAAGTTGGACCCAAGAAGGAACACACCGAGGCACATCATAATTACATTAGCCAAAATTAAAATGAAGGAGAGAATCCTAGAAGCAGCAAGAGCTAAGGGGACAGTCACCTACAAAGGAGTCCCCATCAGACTGTCAGCAGATTTCTCAAAAGAGACCTTACAGGCAAGAAGGGGCCGGAAAGAGGTATTCCAAGTCATGAAATCCAAAGACCTACATCCAAGATTGCTCTATCCAGCAAAACTTTCATTTAGAATGGAAGGACAGATAAAGTGCTTCTCAGATAAGATCGAATTCAAGGAGTTCATCATCACCAAGCCCTTATTATATGAAAGGTTAAAGGGACTTATCTAAGAAAAAGAAGTTAAAGAAGCATGAACAGTGAAAGGACAACAAACTCACAGTTATTAACAACCACACCTAAAACCAAAGCAAACTAAAAGGACAGCTAGATCAGGAGTGGAAACACAGAAATGAAGATCTCAAGGAGGGTTAGCAACAAGGGAGTGGGAGGAGGAGAAGGGGGAAGAAGGTACAGAAAATCAGTAGCATAGACAGTAGATAGAAAATAGATGGGGGGCAAGAATAGTATGGGAAATATAGAATCTAAAGAACTTGAGACACATGGTCATAAACTAAAGGGGGGTAATGGTGGGGACGGTGGGTAGAGTGGAGGGGAATGAAGGGGGGGGGAATAGAACAACTGTAACAGCATAATCAATTTAAAAAACTACCAAAATAAATAAATCTTACCAGGTGATGAAATGTGAAGTATTTCTACCAGAATGTTCATAGAGAATCAAGCCCAACTTCCAGTTTGCAGAAATGAGACAAATGCAGCATCGCTGTCACTTTATTTATTTAGTTTAAATAGTTAAACATTTTATGTATTTACTTTTAGAGAGGGGAAATGAGGGAGAGAAACACTGGTATGCAAGAGAAACATTTTCACACACCCCCAACTGGGGACCTGGCCTGTAACCCAGGCATGTGTCCCATCCAGACTTTGAACTGGTGACCTCTCAGTCCTCAGGCCGAGCGCTCGATCCACTGAGCCTCACCAGCCAGGGCGGACAGTTGTCACTCTACAGCTGGCCTAGTCTCTTCAAAAAGTAAATGTTACTGAAACAAAGCTCTATGTTAAAAGGGATTAAAGAAATACCCATAACAATGCTTCGACCCTGGTTTTTGTTTAAAATAGTGGAACCGGGGAAATGGAAACATGGATTGAATATTAAGTTAATGCTGATTTTACTAAGTAATAGTGGAATCGTTAGTACATAGACGACTATCCTTATTTGTAGGAGATGCATGCTGAAGTATTTTCAGGTGAAGTGGCCCGACCTCTAACACCTTCAGATGGTTGGATTTCGTACATTCACATTAATGTTAACTGTTGTTAGATCTAGGTAGTGAGTATATGGGTGTTTATGTGACTTTAAATTCTCTACGTTGAAACGCTCTCACAAAGTTGGGAGATACCTTAGATTTTTCCATTTAAATTGTCGCTTAAAAGTCTGCCCCGTGGGTGTGGGTGTTAATAGGGTTTTTCTAAATACAGTCTGGGTATCAGAATCACACAAAAAAGTACATACAAATGGCCTTTGAGCTCATGAAAGCAGCTCAGTATTACCAGTTATCAGGGAAATGCAAATGAAAACCACACCGAGTCCACTATACACCCACTAGAGTTGGCTGGGGTGGGGGGAGACCGGCCAGACCACATGTCAGCCAGGAAGCGGCGGGGCAGCTGGAACGCGTATTCTGGTGGGAGTGTCAAATGCACAGCTCCTCTGGAAAACAGTTCGGTGGATTCTTACAAATGAAACGTGACCATACAACCCCCAGGTACCTAAGAGAAATGACAACCTATGTCCACACAAGGACTTTGTTTTACAAGGACTTCTGTTTGAATGTTTGTAGCAGCTGTATTCGTAACACCCCAAGTGTGGACTCAACCCTGATGTCACCCGCTGGAGAGAAGGTAAATCCTACAAAGACATACCGATACATGTGCTGGCATGAATAAGTCTTCACAACCTCCTACTCGGCTCGAAAAGCATATGCAAAACACTACATACTGTGCAATCCTCTTAAAGGAAATCCTAGAACAAACTACACTTAATCTGTAGACAGAATGCAGATGAGCTTGGAGCTGGAGGTCCCAGAGGGGAGACTGACCGCAAAGGGACAGGAGGGAACTTTCTAGAGCATTGGCACTACTCCACATCTTGACTGGCAGTGGCTCACAAGGACCTATACTTGTCAACAGGTGCTCCTCAACCAGCTACATTTTCTTTGGTGCAAATTACACCTCAAAGTTCATTTAAAATACTGATTTTTTTCCTGGTAGCAAGACGGGCTCTGTTAGGGCTTCTGCAAATGGGGTTCCTGGACCCTCAGCATCAGAACCCAAGAAAGCTGGTAGGAACTTCACTTAAGGTCCCCGACCCCCTAAATCAGAAACAGGGTTTGGAGGATGGCGAATTTGAGGTCTGACGCAGACTGGATGTTCCAGAGCTGCCCCTCGCAGGCTGCTGTGAGCCGCGGGGCCAGTGCATGTCAGAGCCTGGCCCCCAGAGCCCCTCGGAACAAGCCAGTGTGCTGGCAACACCGCTGGATGGGAATTTCAAACAGTGGCAGCTGGCTGTGCCCGGTGGGAAGGCACTAGAAAAATTGGAGTTCCGTGCAAACCAACCTGCTGCGTGTCTTCCAGCGCCCTTCCTGCAAAAGGGCAACCTGCTCAGAAGGTGAGGCTGACACGTAGAGCCAGGATGGAGCTCTGTGACAGGGACAGTTTCCGACACGTAGTTCTCCGGCCATGCCGCAGGTCAGAATCTTCTGGACCTTTTAAAAAAGTCTAATGTCTTTTTACCAAAGTAGTGCATGAATGTGTTTTGTTTTCTTAAACTGTGAATGTGGATTTAAGTAAATATACAAAAGGATAAATGTTTTTTTAAAAGAATCAGTCCTAGATGATGTTCAGGATAAAGCTTTTAACTGGAGCCCAGCTGCACTGGAGAAGTAGCCGCTACGGAATCTTTGCAGGAAGATGAATCAGATGGTGACGGTCTGTAACATGTACTTCAGCATTTAAATTTCTAACGTAGTCCCCATGTCACTACTTCACTCCTTGGATTATTTCGTGCCCACTATTCAGTTTTCATTTTTTAAAAAAATCAGTCCCCTAGTAACTTGACTCCAGTTATTGGAGACAGACTTCACTTTCTAATCTTCAGTAGAACAGCGTGACAACCCTGTACGTGGGTGGCCCCAACCCCACCCAGACCCAGAGCACTTCCAGCCCCTAGAATGTTCCCTGGCGCCCCTCCCGGCTCTGGCCACTGCTCTGTCATCGATTAGTGTTAAGGCATTTATAATTATTTTTGCTGTTTCTTCTATTTGTCTCTGAATTTCTAAATAATAAGCTTACACTTTGATCTGTTGGCTTGCCGGTTTTGGACAGTAAGTCCTCTGTCGCACTCCATTGCTTCACCAAGGGAAGCTCAGTAACTTCCAGACTTCAGCCCTCAGCGCCCCGCTCTGGCCACCTCCACAGCTGGTCGGGGGCCCCCAGCCACATGGGACTTGTCCTTGAAGCCGGGAGGTGTCCAAGCGCTCCCGATGTTGAAGCACCCTGACGCCCCAGACCCACGACGTCTGCCGAGAAGGGCTTTGAAGGGAGTTGAGGCCAGCCATGTTTTCTTGCTCTGGAGTTAACGTGTAGTCAGAATGAGGAGGCCACGAGAAAGGCAGAGGGCCTCCCAGGCTTTTATTGCCTGTCCTCTCGGGCTCGCCACATCTTTCTCCCAGGCGCCTGCACTTTCTCTACAAGCTGCTGGTCTCATGGACGTCACATCTCCGAGGAGGATGTGGATGTGACCCGACTAGAAAGCTGGTTTTTATACACAGTTGTGTTGACTGCCCGGCACCAAGATGAGACGCAGGTACGGTCTCCTGTTGTTGGAGGGGTCTCTGCAGGCTGGGGTGCCACTTTCTGAGGGTCCTCACGAACCCCAGCACACTGACACCTTCAGGCCGGTGTCCCCACAGCTGTGGGAAGAGCTGCCTCGAACCCACCCACATTTCTGACTTCCTTTCTCACTGGGACCCGTGTTTGCGGGAACTTCCCCCTACCAAGGCCAGGTTCCTCCTGCCCAGGTGGCTGTCTCCCCTGCATCATCCCAGCCTCGGCCATCGGTGGGCAACCTCCGTCTTCCTCCAGGTGTCCATAGCTTCTCACTTGCTGGGACCCTGGTCATCAGCTGGGCTGGCCATGTGCCAGCTGCTCAGAACTGGCATCTATAGCAACAACGTCCCTGCTGACAATTGTTCTCGCCGCAAAACGTATTTCGGGGGCTCAATGAGAACCCAGGTTGGGCTCACCTGTGATCTGTTCCTCTGGGACTCAAGAAGTGTGCATTGTGGGGAAGCAGGTAAGAGAGAGCATGGGAAATGGCCATTTTAACAAGGGAGAGACCTAGGCTCAAAATGCTAAAAACCAAAATGGCTTAAGGTCTGAACAGAGCCTCCTCAGCGGCTGGAGATGGAAATGGGCACTTGGCCCCAGGGCCGCAGAAAGCCTTCGGCCCAGAGGTCTTCCTGCAGCAGAGGTCCTGCTCCCGGGCTCCCAGGTTTGCTCAGGGCAGGAAGCCCTGGGAGCCTGGCTCCAGGGAGTAGGCTGCAGGCCTCCAGCGGGTGAACGGGTGAAACCCACGTCACTCGGCCCCCTTGGCGCAGATGCAGGGCCTTGGAGAGGAGCAGTCCAAAGCCACAAGCTTGCCTCCATCCACGGCCCCGCACCTGAGATCCGGCCGGCCCTCCTCTTCCTCCGGGACGCTGGGGAAGGACGAGAGGAAGGAGGGCGCTCAGGGTGGCAGGGCTTCCAGGCAGCACAGGCCTGCCCACCACCCTGCAGCCCCACTGGCCCAGGGACTGTTTGAGTCGGCCCTGGGGTAGGCATGGGGGGATGTCCCTAGCTCTTCAGCTGTGTGGCCCTGGGTGGACCACCAAAGGTCTGAGTGGCACACCTGTGTATAGAACAGGGTGACAGTCCCGCTTGGGTCAGTGTGCTGGGGCCCTAAACAATGGGTGGGGTGACGGGGACTAAACAAAACCAGGCCCTGAGCATGTGTGTGGGGTCAGCCTCCTGAGGGGCGGCCCAGGGGGTGGAGCGGGGGACAATCTGGGGAGATGGCGGACTCAGCACAGCAGTGCGGGAAGAGGGAAGGCTTCCAGCTCCTCTCTGGCACCTGCTGTGATGCCACACTAGTGCACTGGGGACAGAGGGGACACCCCCCCTCCCAGGCACAGTCACTCACAGCGGGGGTGACAGGGGGGTACCGTCAATCCAGTGCCAGCCATGGGGGCCTCTCTGGGCCCCCACCCAGGAGTACTTGATGGCTAGGCATCTGCTCAGGAAGTCCTGTGGGAGAAAAGCAGCTGGTCACTCTTACTGTACATGAGCTCGTCTCACCTGGGGCTCCTGCAAATCCCCAGCTTCCCAGGCCCAGAAGCAACTCAGCCTGCACCCGACCCGACTCGCCCAAACACCGGGACCTAGGAAGCTGCCCCAGATGCTGACGGGTACCCTGGCACTGAGCTCAGGATGGGGACCAGAAACGGGGATGATCCCATCTCTGTCCTCAAGGCGAGAGGAGGTGAATGCCAGTCCCCACGGAACAACAGAGGGTGAACAAAGAGGCTCCAAGGGCAGGGCGCGAGGTGAGCAAAGCTGAGGGGGAGGCAGCAATGGGGTAGATTAGGCTGCAGCCGCCTGGGAGCAGGTGGTCAGCAGCACAGCTGCTTGCAAGAGCATCAGGTACATCGTGAGCATCAGAGTTCAGAGCGATATTCTTCAAGTCCTTAAACAGAAGTAAGAAGCCCATGGAGCACCGTTGCGGGGCCAGGGGGGCGGGCAGCACAGCAGGCGGAAGGCTGCAGTATGTGCGGGGTCACAGTGAGTGACAAAGCTGTGGCATGACCGTAATAAGGAAAAAGTCTGTACGTACGTGCACACAAACGTGAGGAACAGCCAGAATGAAAACAAAGAGGCGAGAGAGCTGTTAGCAGTGATTATTTCTTTTACCTATTCATACTTGATGTCCTCTTTTTAACAGTAAACCAAGACATGGTATTTGAGATTTTTCAGCTTGTTTCGAACCTGCATTTCAACTGTATTTAAAAGGTGTTAACACTGTAATTCCTGGTGGGACGTGGCCAGACCGCACTGCCCGGTCTTTCCCTCCCCCGGCGTCCGTCCCACTTTGGGGAAAAACCCAAGAGCATGAAGGGGACAAACTGACTCTACCCAAAGATAACACAGTGCCATTTATGAAGGAAGGTGGAAGGCACCAAATGCCCAGCCATCGGGAGCTAATTCGGCCGAGTATAGGATAGCAACCTGATGGGCAACTGTAGCCACTGTAGAAAATGCAGTTGTGCAAGAAAATGTAAAGGTGAAATCAGGCTCGGTGGGAAAGGCAGCGCCAACCAGCACGGGCACCTCGCTCACCATGCCGAGAAGCCTTTACTCACTTTAGTGAAGCAGGACAGTAAAAATGAATGTGATGTTATATTCGGTTTTTTGCCCCCAAAGTGGTTTAAGTTGACAAAGATGAAACCTTGGTATTTAACCCTGGGAATTAGCAAGTAAGCATTAGCATGACAACTGCCCCTTGGTGCCACTCCCATTCATCCCTCAGGTCCTTCAGCTTCAAGGTCCTTTCCTGTAGGGACACCGTGAACTTGGGGAGGACTGGGGGCCAGTCTTACTCACCATAGACAGTGACGGCCCAGCACACAGTCAGCCAACTCAGCAAAATTGCCGTCCTGTGGCTCTGGCAGTCACCACCAAGGGACCTAGGTAACACCCGGCTGCCACGCCAGCCGTGGGCCCAGAGGTGTCAGCACCCACCCATCTTCTCCCCGAGGGAGCACCAGCAGAAGCAACTTCCAGGTAACCTGGCTGACCTTAACCACCTGAGGTCCCAAGGGTCACACGACACAGGAAAGTGGGGAATGGGGAGGGAACAGGCAAGGTGCACGCAGCCCCTCGGGCTGGGGCCTGCGGGCAGGGCTGGGTGGGGGGCTTTGGAGAGGATGGGAAGGAACCTGGGTGGTCCACGCATCTCGCCGCATGGCTGCACACATCTGGAACTCTTGCTGGCCAGCACCACCCCCCTGTGGGCTGTCAGCTGCTGGCTGGGGAAGGCTCAATATGGCTGTCACTGCAGAGAGGAGAGCCTTGGGGACCAGGCTACCCCATATTCAAAGTCTGGTTCCATGACTCGTAAGGTCTATGATGGAAGGTGGGGTACCGACCCTTTCAGAGCTTCAGCACGGTCTTCTGTACATTTGCAGTGAAGCCCGAGACAGTAGGTGTAAAGCCAAGGCACACAGTACATACTCCTTAAGTGTCCCCTCTGTGGGGTGGTGTGCACAGCTCGTGCCCTGCCCCCACACACAACTGCATCGGAGGCTTGGGGCGATGCCCAAAGGGCCCTTCTTTCCATCCTAGCTCTCTGGGGCTCCTGGGGCCTGCGGCCAGGGCCAGTCCCCACCCACTCCATTTGGCTCTTCTTTCCCTTGCAGCCCAGACTCCATTCACCTGTTCTCATTGTTAGCAAAAAAAACTGTGGAGTGGGAAAAGCAGTGTCAAGAGTCAAAAACAGCCCTGGCTGGTGTGGCTCAGTGGATTGAGCGAGGGCTTGTGAACCAAAGGATCCCGGTTCGGTTCCCAGTCAGGGCACATGCCTGGGTTACAGGCCAGTTCCCGGCAGGGGATGCATGAAAGGCAACCATACATTGATATTTCTCTCCCTCTGTCTTCCCCTCTACAGATAGATAAATAAAATCTTTTTTTAAAAAGAGTTAAAAATAAATTCCAGAAACTTCCAACTGAAAGGACTGCTGTGTAACGAAGGCACAGGGTCCCCGGGGCCTCACTGCCCTCCACTGGCGCGTCTCCCAAGGGTCCACCAGTGTGCGGAGGGGACTTCTGACCCTGAGGAGAATATACTTGAAATCTCATCTTTTACATCCTAAAATCCAGGTAAATTCTTTTCTATGGCTTCCTACATCTCTCTGTCTCTCACTCTCTCCTTTAATCCTTACCTGAGGACATGCTTATTAAATTTAGAGAGAGTGGACTTCCGCCAAGATGGAGGCATAGGTGGATGTGCCGTGCCTTCTCACACAACCAAGTTTAGAGACAACGAAATATTAGCAACAGAAAACACAGCCAGAACACGGTAAATTGAACTTTTCGGAAGTCCGTTAACAACAAATTCTTCAGCCTGACCGGTAAGGGGCGAAACCAGCAGCTGGCGGAGCGGGATTGCACATGAAAACTCGGTCAGACGGACTCAGGCGCGGAATCCAGGCGCAGGGTTGGACCTAGTGAGCGACCGAGCGAGCAACCTCGGGGGAGACAGCGGGGGAGCAGGGCTGCGGGTTGACTGTGGTCGTGCATTGGTGCGCAGATAGACAAGCAAGGGAGTGGGCGATTGGACTGGAATCCAGCGGGTCCCCACAGCAAGCGGCAGGGAGGGCACCGCCATTTCCCTTCTCTGACCCCACCTCCACATACAGCGTCATAACCCAGTGACTCTGAGTGGCCCGGCCCTGGAGAACCACATAAGGTTCTGCTCCTCACCCAGCGGCACAAAACAGCAGAGGGGGTCGCCATTTCCCCGCTCTGACCACGCCCCCACATACAGCGTCACAACCCAGCAACCTGGGAGTCCAAGGCACTGCTTCTCACACTTAAAGGGCGTGAACAGACCAAAAATGCCTCAAGAAGATCTCAAAGCCCCAGAGCCTATAAATCTAAGCAATGAAGAAATAGCAAAACTCTCAGACGCACAGTTTAAAACACTGGTCATCAGGATCCTCACAGAACTGGTTGATTATAGCCACAAATTAGACAAATAATATGGAGGCAGAAACTAATTGAAATGAATGGAATTGCACAGGACACCAATAGCGATGAAAAGGAAACTGGGACTCAAATCAATGGAGTGGACCAGAAGAAAGAAAATAATGGCCAAACAGAAAAGAGTCAAGAAGCAAGAATTCAAAGAAATGTGGAGAGTCTTAGGAACCTTCAGGACATCTTTAAACGCTCCAACATCCAAATTATAGGGGTACCAGAAGGGGAAGAGGAACAGCCACCAGTGGAAAACTTATTTGAACAAATAATAAAGGAGAGCTTCCCCAATCTGGCAAAGGAAATAGACTTCCAGGAAATCCAGGAAGCTCAGAGAGTCCCAAAGAAGTTGGACCCAAGGAGGAACACACCAAGGCACATCATCATTACATTAGCCAAGATTAAAATGAAGGAGCGAATCCTAGAAGCAGCAAGAGCTAAGGGGAAAGTCACCTATCAGACTGTCAGCAGATTTCTCAAAAGAGACCTTACAGGCAAGAAGGGGCTGGAAAGAGGTATTCTAAGTCATGAAATCCAAAGACCTACAACCAAGATTGCTCTATCCAGCAAAACTTTCATTTAGAATGGAAGGACAGATAAAGTGCTTCTCAGATAAGATCAAATTCAAGGAGTTCATCATCACCAAGCCCTTATTATATGAAAGGTTAAAGGGACTTATCGAAGAAAAAGAAGTTAAAGAAACATGAACAGTGAAAGGACAACAAACTCACAGTTATGAACAACCACACCTAAAACAAAAGCAAACTAAAAGGACAGCTAGATCAGGAGTGGAAACATAGAAATGAAGATCTCAAGGAGGGTTAGCAACAAGGGAGTGGGAGGACGAGAAGGGGGGAGAAGGTACAGAAAATCAGTAGCATAGACAGTAGATAGAAAATAGACAGGGGGGCAAGAATAGTATGGGAAATATAGAATCTAAAGAACTTGAGACACATGGACATAAACTAAAGAGGGGGTAATGGTGGGGACGGAGGGTAGGGTGGAGGGGAATGAAGGGGGGGAATAGAACAACTGTAACAGCATAATCAATTAAAAAAATTAAAATAAAAAATAAAAAATAAAAACAAAAAAGAAAAAAACAAAAATAAATAAATAAATAAATAAATTTAGAGAGAGGACAAGGGAAGGGGAGAGAGGAGAGAAACATCAATCAGTTGTCTATTGTATGTGCCCCATGGGGGACCGAACCTGCAACCTAGTCATGTGCCCTGAAAGGGATTCAAACCTGCAACCTTTCGGTCTATGGGATGACACTCCAACCAACAGAGCCACACCAGCCAGGGCCATCCATTCATCCATCTCTCTCTCTAACTGGTCAAGTATGCAGTCAGTGTGTACATTTAAGGTAACTTCCTTCTTCCTCGCTCTGCAAAATGAAGCAGCTGCTCAACCCAGGTCCAAGGTCATTCTGGATTGAACCTCTCTGATGAGGGGCTGGAGGGCAGGGGTCCTCGATGTCACTGGGTCTCTGGTGACATTTGCTGTGCTCCGTGGGTCTCTCAGGAGATGGAAAAATTACGCTGGGCTGCTAAGTCCCTGCCCTGCCGGGTTCCCCCTTCAGCTTCAAGCACTCTTTAGGGACCCAGCTGTGTTCCCACTGGTCTGCAGTTTCCGGGTGTGACCGGGCTGGCTTGCTCCTTGGATGCGGGAGCCTGGGAAGGTGTCTCTGCCCAGCCTGTTCTCACCTCACGGTGACTAAGAACTCAGGGCCCAGCCCAGGCCCCAGGCGGAAAATGTTACATACCCATCGCTGGCCTGCCCGCCCGGGCTACCATTCTGGGGCAGGAGACAGCACAGGAAGAACTCTGAGACTGCGCAGTTGCTGGCCAGCATCTAGCATCGTAGTTGCCAGGCAACGGGGCTTCAGTAGGACAGCTAGCAAACCGAGGCAGGGAGGAGGAGGGAGGCGTATCTCACCCACTATCTCAGCAGCTCTGAGCCTGGTCTGGTGATATCACCAGGTGTTCCAACATCACAAGAAACACCATGCTGACACGGGAGGAGGGAAGTCCTTGAACTTCTGTGTATTGTTTCCATTATCTGAGAAAGAAGGCCTTTGAAGCTGCGCTTTCATCCCAAGGCCTGAAAGGTGGGAGAGGGTCCGCAGTGCCCAAAGAAGCAGCGCATAAAACTGCTTTGGTTAATTGTCTGCCTCTGGTCACTATCTGTTTTACGAGGGACTCCCTGGTGCTTACAGAAAGAGCCCATAAAGAACTCTGGGTAACTGTCCCGGCTTTAATTAACTGCCTCCTGTCACGTATCTGTTTTACAAGATGGACAAATGTGGTCTGGAGCAAGGCAAGGATTCAGGCTAGCAGACTCCCGCACACACCTACCTGTGGGTGGCCACACCCCCTCGGGAAAGCTGGCCCCACCTTTACCCATCAACATCCAACTTCTTCACTCCTGTCTCGCCAACTAGGTAAGTCCTCAGTACCAAGGACCCGCTTTCTGGGCTCTTTGGCTGCCTGGCCTCAGACCGCCCAGCCTCTGGCCACCTCAGCCTCCAGCCATCCTTCGTTTTGCCACCCTGCTTTACCCTGAACCCCTGCTTTTCACCACCTCCCCCCACCCTGCCCCCTGCCCGGACCTAGGCCCATTCCCTTCCATGGGAACGGATCACTAATAAACCCTGACTCCATGCTAACAGACTTGCTGATCTGTGATTCTCCACATGCATCAGTGAGAAGAACCAGGTGTCTCCCGTCAACGATTCCTCTCACGTTTCCCCCTAATCCACATAGAAAATTTCCCTTTAGCTTGGAGAAGGACCAGAGACTCACAGAGTGAACCCAACCTGCAGGCACAAGCCCAGCCCGGCCAATCTGCACCCTGAAGTTCAGCTGTCTGTCATGCCCAGCCAAGGTCAGCCCCTCAACAGTCCTCCCGGGGATCAAGAAAGAAATGCTTGTGGTCTTAAGTCACTGACTTCAGTGGTGATTTGTCATCCTGCATTTTATAGCAAGATCCGACAGCATACTCCCTAAATGTGATTAGTTTTCCACGCCACCTCCCAGGAGTACACATGTCCCCCCCACAGATACGCCAGCGCAGACTGGTCCCTGAGCTCCGTTAACTGCTCGGCCGGCGGCTACACAGCGGGCTGGACAGCGGCAACTCTGCTGAGGCCACCCAGCTCCACCTCCGAGACTTAGAACGCACAGTAAACCGAAGACCCTGGGTCACACGGAGTCTAGTCCCCTTGCATGCCACTTTACTTCTCCAGGCCTTGGTGACTTTTTCTGTAATGTGTGGGTGGGCTAGATCTTTGCGATTCCTCGCAGGGCTAGTGTCCTGTCATGGGTGAGGGTTTGCACGCACCTCCACTGCCCACCCTCCCCCCTTCTCACCTGGCTGTGGCTCAGCAGGGCGAGGGTGGCGTTGAGGGCTGAGCAGTACGCCTGGCTGGCTTTCCAGGCCTGAGCTTCGGCGGAGAGGTGGTAACAGTGCTCCCCGTACCACAGCCAGCCCTGGGGACACGGCCGGCACCTGGCCCCTGCAGGCAGAGACCACAGGTGAGCCGCGGGGTAAACTGTAACGAGCTGAATGCATGTACATTAAAAACCTCAACTCCCTCCCGCCACCTGGACTGAGGGGCAAATCTGCAGGCCTGAGACTGGCAAGCCTTTTGGTGGCAAGCAGGGTGGGCAGGGGCCGAGGAAGGCTGTACAGTTTGTGTGGGGCACAAAGCCCCCCTGGTCGGGGCTGCCGACCGACTGCTTGTCAGAGCGCAGCCAGGAGGAGACGCCATACCTGTTCGAGAGGCCAGGGCTATAATGGCGACCGTGGACACCGCCAGGAGCACGGCCATGACCACCAGGGCCCAGCGCAGGGACTTCATGTACATCGGCAGCCCTGGGAGGTGCGGGGGTGGGGGCAGGGACAACCAGAAGAGACAGGTTAGAGCCACAGACTTATACATGAGCTTCACACCCACGTGCCCACCCACCGCCTCGGCCCAGACACCCGGATGACACCCTGGATTTAGAACTTCCTAATGGGGAGAAAAATACTACATGTTTTCTTATATAACTAGAAGACCTAAGATTCTACTCAAGAAAGAATTGGCTAACAAGCATTTACTATACACCTAGCATGCCTCAGACACAGAGTGTAAATACGCCAAGGACGGGGCAAGGCCGCTGCACTCAAGCAGCTAACAGACTGGCAGAGGTCCCAGGAGATGAGGCTGCGGATTCCAGAGAGGAGCGAGGCCTAGATGTGGAGTTCAATGGCCCTGGGTTCGAGTTCTGACTCAAGCGTTCTGGGTGTTTTCCAGTTTTAACACCGGAATGGCGCCTGCCTCTTTCACCTCTCCAGGTCGCTGGGGGCCAAGGAGGAAGCACCACGCAGAGAGCACGTGGACAGGAGTGAGGTTGCAGAGGGGAAAAGAACTCCAGAGAGCCAGGGAATTAAGTACTGACATGGGCTAGCTACATCGTAGATGACCTTGGAAACACTATGCTAAGTGAAAGAAGCCAGACACCAAAGGACGTGTATTATGAGTCCATTTAAATGGAATATCCAGGATAGGCAAACCCACAGGGACGAAAAGGAGACGAGCAGCTACCTGGGGCTGTGGGCCGGGCGGTGAGAGCTCAGTGGCAGAGCATTTTCTTTTTGGAGTGAATGCAAATATTCTAAAACTGGCTGGCAAGGGTCACACAACTCTGTGAAGACACGAAAGACCATAGAATTGTGTGCTTTAAGTGGGTGAATTGTGTGGTGTGTAAATTATAGCTTGGTGAAGGTGTTCCCCAAAAAAGCAAACGGAAAATGCTTGGAATAAAAGATATATAGCCTAGGCTGGGTAGCTCGGTCGGTTAGAGTGTCGTCCTGATACACCAAGATTGCAGGTTCGATCCCTGATATAGCAAGGTGTGCGGGTCTGGGCACAGACAAGAACCAGCTAATGAATGCATAAGTTTGTTTCTCTCTCCAAAATCAATAAATATTTTTAAAGGCACATAGGTTGACAATCTTCAAATAAGAAAAGCAGAACTAAAAAGCCTGGAGAAGAAAAGGAAAATAAACCCACCAATCACCTCAGTAACTAGTACTAGTAGTGGGGCAGAACAGTACATTCCACTCTGGCCTTTCAGAAAACCAGGCAGTAAAGAAATACACCGAGTTACAAAACTTTCACACACTTTCACACTCAGGCCTACAATGCGGTGACCCCCCCCCCATAACCACCTTGTTGGGGACTGCTCTGCCTGGTTTCAGGAATTGTAACCCTAACCAACCCCCACCAAAGCTTGGTCAGAAGTCCATGATGGGTGGTAAGTCTCCTCACAGCGGGGAGCAACCTAAACCAGACTCAACCACTTGGGAGGCCATCATGGAAGGACTGGGGGGGGGGGCTGCAACAAAGACCTAGTAATAGACCCTTGTCCCCTGGCTATGTGACATAGCCTGAGTCCCCAGTCCTCTGGGAGAAGTGCTTCTTGGCTCTAATCCCCTTAAGCCTGAATACCTGTTGGGGAGAGGTGCAACTCCTTGCCTTGCTAGAGCATGTCTTGGGGAAAAATCTGGCATCACAAAAAATTCCTGAAAAACCTGTGAAATCTGCTCTGCTAAGAGTGCTTTCATTCATATGGTAAAGGTCCAAGCAGGAAATGAGTTTGTCTCCCAAAGTTTCTGCAAACCCCCTTTACTGACAGACACTGACTCAGACTAAGCCCTCAGACTTCTTTGAAATGTTATCTACTGTTTGATCCTTGCTGCCCTGTATTCCTGTGTATTACAACCCAATAAAAGCTGTTGAAGGGGCTCAACGCCTTTTTCCCCTGAGAAATTGGCCACTGCTCATGGCCCTTCCCTCTTGTGGGATCGGCCACCTCTCCTCCCCAAGCAGATCATGTCATGTCTTGTTTACTCTCATCCGTGGTGGACTGTGGGGACTTGAGAGAAAAGTCGCTCCCCGCACCACCTGTCTCCCAAACTTCCAGGCCAAAAATAAAAGTAGCGCGCCCCCCTCCCCCACCCTTTAGAATGCAATTTTTTTTTCACACAAGTAACAAATTCATTGTCCTAGTTAAAAGAAAAACAGTTTCAGATGAAGCTAAATCCCTCCAATTACTACTTATTTTTCAAGGCTGAGCTCCAGGAAGCTTTCCCGCCCCCAAAATCCCTGGCCACGCCCTCCCCGTTCCTGGTCCAGGATTGCTTAATTGTTTATATCTTTTTCTCAGGCAATCTTCATCCCTCCAGGGCCTCCACCACCACAGTCACGTGATCCCGAAAAACTTTCCCTCGCCTGCAATTCCTTCCACCTGGACCTCTCAAAGAGGCTGCGCACACTAAGAGGGCGTGTGCAAGTTGTCGGGAGAGTGTAAGGGGAAAGAATAGTCGGTTTATTCTTTTATCCCAAACCATCTGAATTAGAACTACGTAGACCAGAATGTCATTGGTTTCAAGCCAGAGAGATGGCAGGTAGGGCCGGACATTGGGAGGGTCGTCTGGGTCTCCTAGTCCCTCCAGAGCAGAGGCCCAGGGGGACCTCCGGCTGCCTGGACCCCGACCCGGCGGTGTGGGCTCCCCGCGCAGGCGCGCGCTTACCGATGAGCTTTATCGCCCGGTGCAGCTTCAGGTCGCCGTCCACCTGGGCGCGGTGCAGCAGCACGGTGTCCTCCTTCTCCAGCTCCTGCTCCTTGCAGCGGCAGCGGCACTTAGGGGAGCCCGGGGACTCCGCGTCCCCCTCGGCAGGGTCGACCCGGCCCTCGGCATCGAGGCCGTGCTCCGCCCGGGCTACGGCCAGCTGCGAGCCCCGACCCCACGTGCTGCCCAAGGAGGCGGTCCGCGGCAGAATCGGGAACACGGGCGAGGCGTGGCGGGAGAAGCCCGGGGACTCCGGTACCGGCACTGTGATGAAGCGCGTGGAGGGCGCGGGCGAGGGCGCGCGGCTGCCACCGGCCGCACCCACGGGCTTCACGCGCACGTCCACCTGCAATTCCACCGGCGCGGCCCAGGGCACCAGCTCCGCCTCGCGGTCCCGGGGCTGCTCGGCCGCAGCGGGGCCCGGTGACGGCGGCTCCGGGCTGGCGGACACCTGGCGGCGGAAGGCACCGTAGCCCAGGCTGGGTGGCAGCACCCGAAGGCGCGCGGGGTGCGGCGAGGGCAGCTTCTTCCCGCCCGAGAAGTCCTGGCCGGCGCCGGTCGCCTGGTGTACGGCCGGAGCCAGGCTGTTCTCGGGACTCTCCGGTGGCTCCTCCGCGGGGGCCTGCGGCTGCTCCAGCCCCGGGACCTGGTTTTCCAAGGTCTCCATTGGCAACTCGGCCCGGACTTGGTCTCCTCCGGATGCCGCCCGGGCCCTCTCCATCCCGGACGCGGAGCAACCGAGAGCTGCGCAGTAGGGCTCACCTGGCCCCAGTTAGGAAGTCGGTTTCCCCTCTCGCTTCGGCCCTGGTCCCGCCGGGTTGGTGAAGTCGCCGAACCACGCCGCTCTCCTGGGAGCCTGAGGTTCTGCGGGGACACGCCCCTTCCAGGCCACGCCCCCTTGTGGCCACGCCCCTTCGCCGTGCGCAGGCCAACGGGAAGGGCTGAGGGCCTGGACCTGTGGTTTTCCCGGGAGACAGCTAGCAGCAGGCACTTAAGGGAGAACCTAAGGTCACGGTGCACCGGGACTCTTTCCTCTTCTTTGTCCTTGGTCCCACCCACTTCCCCTCCCCCCCGGCCCTCTGCTATTGTGCTGATTTGGAGAGTTACAGCGCGGGAGGACAGCGGTTGGCCGAGTCTTGTAGGGACGCAGGGACCTCAGGAAAACCAGTGGGTTCAAAAGGAACGGGGCGGTCTGCGGGAGAGTAACAGAGCTGGTTGTTCTGACAGTGTGGTGTGGGAAGGGGCGCCACGCCTGAGAGGAACCCGCCCCTTCCCGCAGCAGTCCCTGCAACAGTTGCTCCGGAGGCCTGACTCCTACTAGCCTAACTCTGTTAAAAGACTGAGGAGTGAATAAGCATGAAACTGTCTGTTTTCCTGGTGACAGGAGCCCGGTCCCCGGGGCGATCTGGTGAGCTGCAGTACAGGTTTCCCGACCCTGGCCACTGAGCTGAATGCCAAAAACAAAAACAAAAAAACACCCCACCAGATTCCTGGCTGGGCTCCACCCAGACCTACTGAATCTCCTAAGGGACTGAGGTTAGTTCTATTTATATCAAGTTCCCCAGGATAGGATTGGCAGATGAAATACTGGTCAATCAGTTAAATCTGAATTTTGGATAAACAAGAGATAGTTTCTGCCCCTCCTAAAGCTTCCTTGTTCAGTTCTGTGGATTTTTGGGACCTTGCCCTCTCTACCTCTCTTTTTTTTTCTCCCTTAAGTTGGCATAACAGTCACCTCTCTGATTGCTAGGAGGGTGAGTGGGGGGCACCAAGTCCCACCATGGGCCGCCTGGGGCTGCCTGGGGCTCTCTCAGAATGAGCACCAGACTTTGGAGCAGGCTCCATTGTGCCTCTTTCCATGACTCACAGTGGCCCTGGCATGGGAAGGTCATTTACAACTTCTGCGGTGGAAACCCCTAAGGCAGGTGAATTACCCAGATGTTTCAAGGGGCTTCCGTTTTTGGCTAGCCAAAAAGAATGAGTATCTACTACTGTCCCTTCTTCCATCCTTTCCTCTCACTTTAAAATCCTTTTCCTATTTTCCAACAGCAATACATGCTTGCGATCCGACATTTAAATATCACAGGAAATGCATGCTGCAGAAAGCAGAAGTCCTCCGTATTGCCTGCCCCAGGGATCTCCATCGTTAATGGTTAGGTGTACACTCTTCTGGCTTTTTTCCTATGCATATACACCCTCATCTATATTGCTATGATATGCATATATTTTTTTATTTCAAAATCTTCACTCATGACTCAGCTTATATCTATCCCTAATTTAGGCTGCCTCCTTCTGGTGCACATTTGCATTGTTCTTATCTGGGTGACATAATTACTGCCGTGCTGCAAATGCCACCTTGCACATCGTTTGTTGTATTTTTAATCACATCTCCGATGGTACTCTCAGGGTAGATTCATTAAAATGGAACTGCTTCGCCCTGACCAGTGTGGCTCAGTGGGTTGGACATCTTCCTGCAAAGTGAAAGGTTACCGGTTCAATTCCAGGTCAGGGCACATGCCTGGGGTGTGGGTTTGGTCCCTGGCTGGGGTGCGTGGAAGAAACAACCAATTGATGTTTTTCTCTCACAACAGTATTTCTCTCTTTCTCCCTCCCATCCCCTCTTGCTAAAAAACAAAGAAGTAAATAAATAAAATATTTTTAAAAGAAAGAAAAAAATGGAAATGCTTAGCCGAAGGGTACTCTGATGGACTATGTCGTGGGGACCTGAGAACTCCCAAGAAGCCGACCACGAAGAACTCCCAAGAAGATGACAGAGGGTTGTGGCGCCAGCCTCACCAGCACTTGAAATGATCAGTCTCTTAGTCTTTCCCAATCTGGTGGATGAAAACATAAAATTTCAACTTGCACTTTTTTTTTTTAAGTTATAAATGAGGTTGAACATCTTTTCGTTTGTTAACTGTGTAATGAGAAGTGTCTTGCCATTCTTGGGGCCATTGCCACTTCCTCTAAAGCCTCGGGTCATCAGCTGGTTCCAGGAAGTGGTTCAGTAGGAACCAAGTTCACTGGCGCAGGGGGGCTGATGGTATCTGGCCTGTCTAAACAGACCAAAGAGTTCCGAGAGCATAAACCAATTCATGGCTGGTTGCTCCAAAGAGGAAACAAACATCCTCACCCTGGCTCTTGGCTGATGTCATCCGCTCTGGCATCTGGGGCTCTTCTGGGGCCCCTGGGCAGACAGATGAGGGAGGAGGGGGGTTTCTGCACGGCCAGCTCCCTGGCATGGTCAGCCCATCCTCAGCTCACATTCCACCTGCTCCGAGGCTCAGGGGCAGCCAAGCCAGGGCGGCGATTCCCACCCCCACCTCCCTGTCCCTCACCTGTGGACTGTCTCCCTAGAACTCAGTGCTGTTTCTGGCTGCCATGTTCATGTTTATCTTGTTGTTTCGTGCTTGTCTCTGGTCCTCTAGAAATCATTGCTGTAGCCTCAGAACAGTCTCTGGCCTGCCCACTCCCCATTCTTGGCTGATGTCACCCCTGTGGCTTAGTAAGTATTCATGAAATACATACTACCAAACAAGGCCCTGTATGTGTGCTGGGCATACCTTATCTTTATTATTTTTCTCACTCAATTTTTATTGAAAGATTTTAAGCAGACTCTATATACACAGAGAGCAGGATGGCAGCTAAGCAGGGGAGAGGTGGGGGTGGAGAGATGGAGCAAAAAGGAAAAAGGACTCGTGGACACGGACAACAGTGGTGACTGCAGGGAGGGGTACAAGGGGACTAAATGGTGATGGAAAATATAATAAAAATAAAACTATACAAAAAATTACAAAGAAAAATAAACAATAAATAGAGAACACTTGAATATCCTCCACCAAGATGCAACAGTTAGCACCGCACCGTATTTGCTTGGTCTTGACCTCCACACGAGCACACTCCCACGGTTGTCTCCACGAAACAGCTGAGTGTCCTGCACACCTGGCAAAGCCGCCCCTAACCACTCCGCGTGTGTCCGCTGTGAGTACATGTACTCACAGCATCACTCTGACACCCAGAAGTGAACCATTATTCCAGACTAGGTGATGTATAGAGGTCATGTTTACATTTACCCAACTTTTTCAGACCAGGATCCAACCAAGTCTCAGACGTTGCATTTGGGTGTTACAATGATTTCTTCTTCCTAATCACCCCGTGAGGAAGGCAGTAGTACAATGCCTACTTTACGGACGAGGAAAGTGAGGGTCAGGGAGGTGGAGGGACCTGCCAGATCACATGACTCCAAGGTGGGAAAATCACGATGCCTTCTTATGTCTCTGGCTCCCAAATACGTCTTTTCTTCCCCTTTCTGCATCCTGCTCCCCTGCACTTCGGTTTCCGGGGGGGTTCATTCCCAGACTCGGGCTAGTCTGGGCCATGCAAGTCATGGGCTGGGCCAAGGTGGAGTGTCAGCCCAGCTACCCAGCCACCTAGTCTTCACTTTCAAGTTCCTCTAGCCACGCTCCCCGCCTCCTGACTCCTGACCTCCTCTCTGCTGCTTTCTCAAACCCAGCTGCGACTGGCAGTGACCTGGCACCCCCTTTCCGCCTCCCTTACTTGCAGGAGGACCCACTTGCGGCTTGGGAAGACCAACGGCTTCAGCAGAGGATCAGAAGGTGGCTTTTGGCCAGGGGTGGGGGCAGGGCTGCAACCGGAGAACGGGTTCCTGCTGGATTGGTGCACGCTCACCCAGGGAGACTTGAGGAAGAGCCGGGACAGGGGAGGAAAAACATCTGCCTGAGTCATCACCGGCTTGCCCTCTGCAGGTCGGAGCGCAGACCCTCCCTTGCTGCGAGCTCCGCCCCTGGAATTCCCTCGGTGGTTTGCAGTGGGCGTGGCTAACGCGTGTGAATGGGCAGCCTGACTGAGTCAGCGTCTCGTGGGCTGTCCCCAACCCCCTGTGTGCGATTATTCGGCGAGTCCAGGCTTTTAAAAATGAAATACTCAACTCTCCCCTGGGGCTAGGAACACTTCGATTTTTAGGGCAAAAGGTCCAACTGTCATCTAAAGAGGAAGAAGCAGAAAATACCTCTCTTTCTTGTACTGGCTTTACAGGAAAGGAAGATGACTAACTTTATTATTTTTTTTACTTGTTTCTGTAAGTATATGCTTTTCTTTTTCAATTACAGTTGACATTCAATAGTACTGTAGATTAGTTTCAGCTGCACAACACCGCAGACAATTCTGTAACTTACACAGCGATCCCCTGGCTAGTCTAACGCCCACCTGGCCCCATGCACACTTATTACGATGTTATTGACTCTATTCTCTGTGCTGAGCTTCGCGGCCCTGTGACTAGTTTGTAACTTGCAATTTGTATTTCTGAATTCCTTTCACCTTTTTCACTCAGCTCCCCTAACCCCCTTCCAAACTGAGGGAACTGTCCTCAGTTTGTTCTCTGTCTCTATGAGTCTGTTTCTGTTTTGTTTGTTTATTTTATTATTTTTTTCATAGTTACTATAATATTATTGACTATATTCCCCATACTGTACTTTACATCCCCATGACTATTTGTAGCTACCAATTTGTACTCCTTAATCCCTTCATCTTTTTTACCCAAACCTCCAACACCACCCCCACCTGGCAACCATCAACATGTTCTCTGTGAGTCTGTTTCTGTTCTGCTTGTTTGTTTTGGATTCAATTAATAATAGATATGTACTGCCATTTTATCATTCATATTCTTGCTGCTGCTGCTTTTCTTCTTCTGATACTTCATTACTGGTATATAAAAATGCAATAAATTTCTGGATATTAATTTTGTGTCCTGCTACTGACTGATAGTGGGTTTTGGTGGAATTTTTTTTCATTTTTTTAATTTATTTTT